GGRTTTAAGGTYCCTCCAACCCAAACCCTTGTGGGATTCTGGAATCTYGATGGCCCCACAGCAGAACACACAATGGTGATGTTGGAGCAATCCCAAGGCTCCTCCCAGGTGTAATTCCCATTTATTTTCCTTTGCCCCAGGGAACAGCACAAATTTCCCACACTGCTGAAGACTCAGTGGATGAAAATCCCTCTCCTTGCTGGGGCTTCAGAAAATGCTGCACAAAACACCTCCAGAACCCTCTGTASCACCTCCATCCACATTTCTCACAGAGGGAAAAGGCCATTCAAGGAAGACACCTTTGCTCTCCAAACTGAGATTTTTCTATCAATAAAATYCAACTTTACTTCAAATCCCAAGTGTCAATCAACACTATTCAAAACAACAGCTTGAAACGGATGAAAATAAGGATTTTATATTAGAAAATACCCACATAGCAACTAAATTCACCTATTTTTCAACATTCAGAGCTTTGAAGCTTGCTAAAAGTTCAGATTCTTGCGATTTCTGGCCCAAGCATTATTTTAAAAGCTGGTTTTAAATTTCCATGGAACGAGTGAAACCTTTTAAGCATTATTTCCTCCTGTGTGCACGTAGAGCAACACATGTTACCCACGCTTCTAAAATTCATTGCACAATTAGAAATTCAAATTGSAGTTTTCAGCGGGAAGAACACAAACGGCAAAACCCAAAGAAGARCATCATCAAAACGAGAAATCCATAAACATTTGATAAATTTGGCAGCTGAAAAGGAGCCCYGATAAAAGGAAATTTTTCATACTTGTTGCCACCTGCCCACCCGACTGCTTTGCATAGCCAGAAAAGAGAAAAACAGAGGCCAAGCTATTTAACTAAACAGTTTTTATGAAAGTGAAAGAAAAGCAAGAATCTATAAAGTAGCGAGTGATCCTATTAGTTCCACCAGACTAAAATCATACAGTCTACGTATGTGGTCCTTTCAGCCACATCTGTTATGAGCCATTTTGATACCCAAAAGCAAGGAATATTTGACCATATTCAKCAGGCACTGAGTGCAAATCAGGCTTTTTCTCATCAATAACTTGTGGTAGAATGGGCAGATTTAAAAAAAGGAGCAGCCAGAATTATAAAATATTTGGATTTACCACAGTTAAGGCCAAAGAATCATTTATTTCATGTTTTTTTTCTGGGAGGAATATGCAAAATGCAATTATGTACAGCATTAAAGGCAGCAATCTGACAGGATCATTCAAAGATAATGAGTTAAATATCCAATATCCAGAACTGGATCTGATAAATGTTAAATGCTTGGGATTTGTATTCCCCCATTTTCATCACCTCACGTTTGGTGCTGAAGTTTCTTTTAAATGAACTCGGGTGAGTTCTTTGCACAAAACGCCCTATTCTTGACTGCTCTTTCAGCCAGAGATTGAAATGCAGATCCCAAAAATACATCAGTCACTTATTTCAACTCTAGACCTTTGAAAATCCAGATCAATTGCCTTTTGTCGCCGTCTTTATATGCAGAGTAAGAAATTTCTGCTCAGCACCGTGGAAAAGCTCCCGGAGCCCTTTGGAGGAAGCAGCAACATCGATAGTTTGAAACGTCCGCGCGCTATTTCATAGGGATTTATCGACATTTTGGGAATATTCATCCATATTTTAATCTTGATGAGAAAGCACAGGTGCCGTATCATCGACAGCACGTACCGAGCAGCTTTCAAGTGCCGAGTTTAAGCTCGGGATTTAGGATTTGAAACAACTTTCCCCTAAAATCGGCGCCGGGAGCCACGTTTAACGCCAAGCCCCGGCTCTCTGGGATCTTCCCCGTCCCTCGGTAATGAAGTCTGGGAAAGGAATCACAGACACCCAAGTGGTTTGGCAACTGTAAGTGACAGAAGCCGAGCTAAATCCTCTGTTTACACTGGGGATTATCGGGGTGGATTGTGGTGGTCAGGGGACGCTGCTCCCCGTCCGCCCGTGGGGCAGCGCCACAAAGCCCCGGCCTGGTAGGAAGTGACCCAGAAAGAGCTGCCGAGCGGGGATTTACACAAAGCTCCCAACAAACCCCATAAAAAACCCCATCTGACCATGAAGTGGCCGGCCAGGCCTGCCAGGAGGGCTAATTACAGCCCTCCCGCGCCCGCCAACAAAGGCTGCGGGGCTTTAGCCCAGGGATGATCTGCTTTATACCGACTTGAGAGAGTCCATCTAGAGCCCCCGAAAGAAAGAGCTTTAGCTTGGGAATTCTCCCAAGGGACCAGGCATTGTGGCTCAGTCTGGAAGGCCCACATGGAACGCACTTCAGATGGGTTTAACCATCCCATCCTCTCCAAATTAACATTCAACTACTGCCTGCTAACATCTGCTGGCGCACGGCGCGCGGGGGAGGCTGCCAGGGGAGCCTTGCAGGGCGCCCTGGCACCTCCACACTCAAAAATCCCCTTCAATAAACTCTGCAAATATGAATTTATAGCTGGGACCGRCCACTTCTCAGCAATGGGGGGGTTTATGGATCAAAAATCAGTTGCCGCGTTAAAGAGTTTCAGTGCTGTCAGTATTGCCCTGCTTAATGAGATCAAAATACTGATATTAATCTAAACCCACCAAGGAAAAAAATATTTAACAAAGTCAGYATGAACACAGGATGTGGAGAAAAACCTTCCTGTCAGCACTGTATTACCTGAACGTAAAAATGGCCATCTTACCCTCCTCCCTCACAGACACAGGTGGATATTTTTAATTTTACCTGCTCTCATAATGAGAGACCAGAAGTCACAATTCCTATCTCCAAAATACACCAGGACAAAAAAAATCTGAATAATAAGTGGTAATAATAATACYTGTTGGTTTCAGAGAAAGCAGTTGCTATTTGTTAAAATAATATCTAAATTAAATTCTAAAAGCAGAATTTTCTCAAGATCCTAAATATCTCCATAAAGGAAATTTAAATAGGAAAATAAAGACATGAAGTTGAAGAAATTGCCCAGAGAAGCTGTGGACTCCCTGGSAGYRCCCAAGGCCAGGTTGGGTGGGGTTTGGAGCAGCCTGGGACAGTGGGAGGTGTCCCTGCCATGGCAGGGGTGGCACYGGRTGGGATTTATGGTCCCTTCCAACCCAAAGCATTCCCTGATTCCAGGCTGCCAGTGGGGATGGGGCAGGGAGGGACTGTCCCAAACATCCCCACGACCCTTGGTGGTGATTTGGAGCCCTGGGTTTGCCCAAAGCACGGAGCTTTAACCACGGGATCCACGGAGAACAAACACAGCTTTGACCCCACTCACTGGGGCTGGAGCGATTCCTGGGCAGTTCAGAACCAGAAATTCCCAGAATTCATTCCCAGGTTTGGGATGGAACCTGCACTGAGCCCTTCAACAACAGCTCTTCTCACCATTACTGAAGTACAGAGTTATTTAAATTACATTCAAATGAAGCATCACCACAGCAGCAACAACGAACCTGCGGACCCTGAGCTCCTCAAAAAGCTCCTGGCTAATGGCTCAGCACAAATTAATTATTATATTTGAAGATTAAAAGGTGGAAAAAAGTGCTGATTTTGAAAGGAGTAAACATAAAAAAATACATTGAAACAATATCAGAAGCATTTCCAACCTATTCCCACAGCAATTTAATACAAATTAAATGTAATTAATGATGCAGGACTTGGGGAAGAAGGTGGGGAATGATCTCATCAGTGCCTGGGATGACCAAGACTTAAATAAAGCCAGGGAGGAGCTTAATTCTGTATTTTGGATGGTAGGAGACACAGAGAGATTCAATCTCTTGTGTTCTTTATGAACAACTTGCAGCTTCAATCTGAGACCCAGCCCTCAACAGTGAATATTTAAATTGAACAATGTCACAGACCTTTGATAAGCTTTGGAAAATTTTGGAGCCCAGGTCATGATGCTACACAACCCCCAGTTATCTTCTGTACATTTCCCAGGTGTGAAATTAAAAAATGAGATGTGATCGATGGCAGCAGAATACACAAATTGTGCTTTTGAGGTCAGGGCTGTCACATCCATTTTATAATTACATGCTTCAAAGATTTATTAAAAGTTCTGGAGAACAAGGGATGTACTGGAAGAGAGATGATGCAGAAGGCTGGATGGATTTTAGAAAAAAAAATATAACAGCCATGTGAGGAGATTGCTCAGAACAGAGAGTAGAAAATGAAAAAAAAAAATGTACTGATTTAGAATAGTGTTAAAAAATAAAGAGGAAAAAATAAAACAAAACCAAATCTCTGAGAGCACAGAATAAAGCCTCAGTAGCAGCAGCAGCCAGAGGACAAAGGTGTGAGGTTTTTGTGTAAAAATGGACTTATTTTTTTTTCCTTAAAGGGCTTTTCTGAGTGCCAATGGTGATGCAAAGCAATTTCAGCTCAACCTGAAATTTCAGTGACAACGGGATCAGCATCGGCCAAACACAAACGGATCAAACCCCACCTGACCCCACAGAAATGAAGTGAATTTTGGAGATTGTCTTTTACTCACCAGCTGCCTCCAGCACCAGCTGCAGCCTGGCCTTGGCCTGTTCAGCAGGAGTCTGCAAGAGAGGAGWGATCAGCTCRTACCTGGATGGACATTGAACCCCCKGGGATCTGCCATTCYCAMCCACAGAATTCCCACCTCCACTGGKCCCTCKGCACCCAGAACAGCCACAGAAACCTCCAGAGAGGAGCCAGCACTGCCACAGAGAGGAACTGTCCAAGGAAGCTGCAGGACTGACCCAAAATCCATCCCCATGAGGTGCCTGTGGCACCACGACCAACCCATCCCAGCCCTGCGACCCCAACCCGGCTCCTGCTGACCCCACTGCACACAAACACAGCTCCACAATCCCCAAACTGCCTTTAACATGGGTCATATGGYGAGTTTTTCCCATTTTTCTCTCATCTGGGGTGATTTTCGCCCTCCTGAAGGTGTTGCTGCACATCTGGCCAGGGCCCCACTGTGCTGATGATCCCAATGATGCTGCTCTGTGCCCAAAGTTCCTGCCACCCCTCTCCATCTGCAGCCACAGCTAAATTGAGACACAAACCCATTTGTCACAGAGTTCAGAGTTGATTATTCCTGGAGAAGTTTGGGAGGTTTCTGCTCGGCGCTAAAAACAAAACCTGACGGGAATTTTTGGTGGCGTTTTACAGCTCAGGAAACTCTTCCTGAGATCCTGAACAGCTGCAAAAGGGAAATTGAAATGGGAAAATAAAGACGAGAAGTTGGGGCTGCCCCTGGATCCCTGGCAGTGCCCAAGGCCAGGTTGGACAGGGCTTGGAGCAGCCTGGGACAGTGGGAGGTGTCCCAGCCCATGGCAGGGGTGGCACTGGATGAGCTTTAAGGTCCTTTCCCACCCAAACCATGCCATRATTCCATAATTCCATGATTCCACGATTCCAGTCAGGCAAAACTCTTTGCCATGGATGTCCCAGCTGAGGGCCTCACCATCCTCATCTACACCCACGAATAGAGGCTGACAGTGACAGAACAATTCCATTTCCACTCCAAGAATTTACAGACTGCTCCTCCCATCACCATCCAGTAGGAAAGATTGCATTCAAATGCAATTCAAATGAAGATCTGTTTTTAGTTGCATAAAAATCAAATATTTTTAGTTCAGAATTTTTCTGTTTGCATAAAMCCAGAATTACCAGGCAGAATTTATTACTATAGCTGCTAAATGGATCCTACAACTAGGCCTGACCACTAATCCTGGTGGCAGCAAGAAAAATCTGGAGATTTATTGTAAATTATCATCTGATTTCTTCTYCTTGCCATGAACTAATAGTTGCAAGATGTTTTGGCATCTTAAACACGTCGTGGGAGGAAAGGAAGGAGAGGAAGGGAATGATCTGCTTTTTATCCAGAACCAACCTGCCCAGCTCCAGTTTCAGAGGAGCTTTACTTGGGTTTGTGGTTGCTCCATTCTGTGACAACTTTAAATTTAAAAAAACCCACCGGGACTGGTTGAGTTTGGCAAAATTCTGCAGGACAAGGAGAAAAGGAGAAGTGTTGGGTGTCAAACCCCTCCTGTGCCCACACCTGCACATCAACAGCTCGAGTCTCTGTGCACCCCATCCACCAGTTGGGCTCTGCCATCCCAGATTCCATTCCCTATTCCTACAGCAGTTACCCAGTTCAGATATTGAACAGAAATCCCAGATACCTCAGATATTGAACAGAAATCCCAGATATCTCAGATATTGAACAGAAATCCCAGATATCCCTGCATCTCCTCTTGATGGTCACACAATATCACCGTTCAGCACCAGCGACTGCAGAGAACATTCCACTGACTGATTTTAGGATATCCCTGTCCAGCACCACCACATCCACAAGAATTCCAYGAAAAATGCCAAGGCAGGCTCCAGAGGAGGAGAGAACCCAGAGCAGCTGCACAAGGGTCACCTCCAGCCCTGAACACGGAGCTCCACAGCAGCAGCAGCACCGACCCCGCTGCTCCGTGGAGCTCCACAGCTCCAAACGCCTTTTCCCACTCCCTGCACTGAGTGTGGATGTGTCTTGTTGGTTTAAGGTTGGGAAGACTCAAATTCCTCTTTCCCTCAGCGATATCCCACTGGGAACAGTCCAGGCAGCTGCYCTGGAGGCACCTTCCCCTCTGCCCTGGCTCGGGGTGTTAATTACTGCAGTTAATTGAGAACTCAGCACAGGCACCTYCTCACCGATCAATCCCCCCAAAGAAGGAGTGAAAGGAGGGTTCTGAAATAAAGGTGACTGGCCTGGCCCCAGAAAAACATCCCTCCAACTGCTGGAGGAGGCCAATACTGGGAGGAAAAACWGACAGAGAGGATTTCAGCTGAAAATCACAATTAGAGCCTGGAACGAGCCGGGAGCAACGTGTGAGAACAACCAGCTACCCAAGGTCAGTATTGATTTAGGGACCATTAAGTGAAAAATTCAGCAAGACCCTCAGGAAACTTCAAAATGGTGAAATGATTGGTGGAGGAAACATTACCAGAGTGATTTCGAGCAAAAGAAAGCCTTGTACTTTCCTTATGGTCAGAAGCGTAATACAGAAGGAAAAGAATTCAAAGGGAGTAAAAAAAAAATAGAATTATTTCTAGTACCAGCTGAAGGAGTCCACTGACCATAAAATCRGGAGAGGAATTCCCTAAAATTCCTTAACAAGCACTTGCAAAATGACTGGAGGTGTTTGGAGCATCCCCAGTGATGAATTTTACATGAGCCCAAAAGTGTCTGGGAGAGGCTGGAATCCAGCTCAGAAAATGATGATATTCCAGAGGATACCACCAGCCAGAAATATCCACAGGATTGATAAATGTTATTAATATTTTAAGGAAAAAAAAATGATTAAATGTATTCCATTTTTAATGGCAGTTGCAAATATTCCTAATTTTGGTTTCTTTGCAGTTCATTCACTGCATTCCATCACTGCTGCTTTCCTAAATAGTTATTTTTAATAATGTAGTTATTTTTAATAAAACTACACTAAACCAGCATCTCGTAACTTGAAATTTAGTGGGTTTTGGGTAAAAATCTCCCCAGATTTTTATCTACCTTTTACCACTTCTAAAATTCTGCTGCATTATGCTACAATGAAGTYGTGTGAGAATACAAAAATAGCAGGAGATAAATCCAGGTTCTGAAATGAAAATTTTTAATTAACACATCTTAAATGCTTTGGAAACAGCTCCAGCCAAGGATGGACTGGCTGAAAAAACAGGAGCACAACCAACAGGTAACAGRGATTAGTTAATTCCAGRAGGAGTTAATCCTTGAATTACTGTSTTTTCTACCACAAAAAAAGGAGTTTTCTCTAAATACATTTTTCAGAAAAATCTGAATCTTTGCATTGAAATGCAGCAATTAAAAAATAATAGAAAATAAACCCCGTTTTGAAAATGAAAAGCCTTTAAAATATCATGAGGATCTAGGAAACTCTAAATTAGCAATGCTTCAAAATGTCATATTCTACCCCAAATCCTGCCTGATTACCCAGGAATTAATCTGAACTTAATCAAGATTAGATACTTTGAATAAAAATGCATTTTCTCATTGCTCTCAGATTCAATGATCACCTCGCCCCCCCGCACCATTTTCGGGATGTCACAGATTTGCCATTCCAACTTTTTAAAAAATCACTTGTGCTTCKTGCTTTTGGCTGCTTCTTTTGACAAATAAACACCACATAAAATGTGCAGGGCACAACGTAATTATTCTGAGGAGCACCTGCATAAAATCAGGGTGCAGAGATTTGTATTTTAGGTGCAGACTGCAGATAGTTGGGCAAATTTATGCTCCATCCCGGTATTGTGCCAAGATCCCTCTCCAGGATATGCAATAAAATATATTCCTATCTAAAATCACCACACAAAATCCCCAAAAGAAGAGGAGAAAGACCCCCCCAAAAAGATGAATTCAATGGTGGCCTYGATAATTAGATGAATAATTAATTACATTTCTGCCAAAGTGTTTGTTTGCTGCAGAAAACCCTCCCRGGAAATGCATTTAAACTTGGGGACAGCCAAGCAGCCACTGCCCTCCATAAAGTTCCTTTATATATTTTTCCACAATATGCACAAAACCGGAATATGAAATCAGAAACATTTTACACATTCTCATACTTCAGAGAGCACTAACAGCATTTTACTCGTCGAAAGCACTTTATCTTCATGTCTCTATGAGGCAGAGTTGGTGCATAATAATGTAATTTATATTGCCTAAATGTTATTTTGGGAGCATTGCATCATTTCTCAAACTTCATGACCTTTACAATTTTCTAAACTTTTATTTCCCTCATTATTCTGAACAGATTTCATTACATATTTTGAATGTAAACAACCCTGAATAATGATGGCCCCCATTACGTATGTACAGCTCTGACAATCGCGCGCGGGGCCGAGATGGAAACCCAGTGCATTAATTTACCTCTCATCTGCCGTAACTGCACTCCCATAAAAAGTTTTATACTCAACTCACATAAATCACGGGGAAGAAAAATGAGAAAATCTGGTGGCTAACTCATCTTCCACCATTCTGCGAAAATGAAATTCACTGAAATACCTATCAAAACTGCAATCATCAAGAGATAATGTCTTCTTAGGTCTATCTGCACTTTCCGATTTAATTTCCTCCATGCCCTTGACATCCACAGATACCATTAAGATTAAGAGCAGAGAGTAACTGAGCAGTTCTCGGATTTTGATATATGGGGCCCAGGCACTAAATGTAATATCATCATTTGAAAATTAATGCAATATTTCTTTTGTTAGTTTTTCCACGCGGAAAGSGGGCTCGACGCTCGGGGTTCTCGGCGGTAATTTCGCCGTCACGACGCTGCCGCGCAATTACGAGGAGACGCGCGCCCGGTCAGAGGTCACCCAAATTACTCCATCATTTAATGAGCACCGAGATCAAACCCCGGCGCACTGTTGCTGCCGAGAGACGCCTCGCAGCCTGCTACATCAAATCTGATGGAATCATTAGAGTAATAAGCAGGAAAATCTGTTTGCAGATTAACCTCTGGTTTCATGCTGCTTTCATCTAATGGGGCGCYGCGGAAATCTTGTCGGCTTTTCATCAGGCGCGATCAAATTACGGGAATTGCGAACAAACCGCCGGCGCGATTGGAAACAACACCCGCACGTGCCGGGGCTCTGGCGCAGATGCCAGGGAAAATCACGCTCTTTATATTTTACGGCGTTATTTACTCCGTCTGATCAGCGCTCCCATCCGTCTGCCGAGCCCCAGCTTCAAATTTACGGCGGAAAACGGGAGTKGGAGAATTGATGGAGTAAATATGAGCAGGGGGATGAAGGGAGAGCGGGAGGGAGGCAAAGAGGGCACGGGGATGAAGGGTCCTGCACAGCCAGGGTAGGGGAGGCACCTCATGGGAAATGGGAGTGACCAAGGTTTAGTTTTTAATAAACACACAAGGACACGAATGGCCTGGTTTATGGGGAGTGGCTCTGGCTGCAGGGAAATGGGAAGTGATGGGGAAAACTCGGGGCCATGGAAAACCTCAGGAGAACTGATTTTAGGGTTTTACACTGGGAACAACTCGTTGAACAATATGTACTGACCTTAAAGTGAGACCACCCCTTATTAATTAATGAGTGATGAAAACAGAGTGGTTTTGTCATTAATTCATGGAATGATTGGGGTTCCAAGGACATGGAAGATGATCCAGATCACTGTGCCACAAGTGAAATTACATCAAATTACAGCGAATATTATTTATAAAACCTTATCAGGGACCCCAGAACCACTGGGGCTGGAAAAGCCTTCCAAGCCAAGAGCCCAACCATTAACCCATCACTGACCACGGTCCCAGGTCCACATCCCCCGGGCTCTGGAACCCCTCCAGGGATGGGGACTCCACCCCTGCCCTGCTCCAGTGCTTGGCCACCCTTTCCATGAAGGAATTTTCCCCAGTATCCAACCAAAATTTTCCCTGAGGTCATTTCCTCTCACCCACTTTGCAAGCAGGTGAACAGAAAAGATCCTTTTTAACAAAGTTCAATCAATCCTATGTTCTGGATACCTGAGAAGTGTGAGCATCCAGATGTGAGGCTCAGGAACGTGCCCCATCCCTGCTCTCYGGCATGTTTTTAATCAGGAATAACAAACCCCACAATTATGGGAAGGCAATAAACCATTTCACACACTGATAACCACATTTCTCAGTGTGGTGGCAAGAACACGATGACAACTCCCATCTCTATTCCATATGCAGATAAAATTGATGTTTAAGTTAATTAATTTTTTTAAATGGACATAAAATATTATTTCCTTTTCACCTAACGTTCATTTTTCAGGAATGAACACCAGGGTCTCCAGGTCCCCTGTGTCCTTATGAACCCTGGGACACTGCCACGCTTTGGGCTGTAACCTCACACTGTCAATAACATTTTGGGCTCAATGCAACAAAACCAGACAAAATCCAACTGCAGAATTCAATGTTTGTCTACAAAAATACCAATATTTACCGTCTAAACAGCAGGATTAAATACTAATCAGTTACAAATAATAATTTGTCAGCACAACTAATATTTAACACTATTTTATAAAAGGGCGCCACCTGATTATTTCTACAAATTCTTAAAATTTTTTAAAACTTCCAAAAGATGAGTTATTTCATTATAACCTTGCCAAAAGTACCTCAGCAGTGGCTGTGCTCTCACACCTCCCACTCCATAAGGAATCTCCTATGTGTCCATCACATTCYAGGAAGGAGAACATCAAGCACACTCAAGTTTCAYGTTCAAGCACCAAACTAAAGGTCAKGCATGAAAATTGTAACTCCCAAAGAACACCAGAGTGRTTTTCCTMAGGGAATTMTTCCAGGTTTRATAATTWGAACATGTGAGATAAAATTCTATTWWAAAAAATKGTGAAAAATCTGATTYTTAAATAAATTTCAATAGAGGAAAATCCCAACCTTTCATTCAGCCTGGCACTTCCTCTGTAGGAGACAATTCGAGCCTGCAGAATATAATTGACCAGCATGGAATTTTGCCAGGACAGCAAGATAAACATAATTACTCATCTTAAGAGCGTTAATTAATTGTTTGTGAACACCAATAATTGGCTGCTTGGTTTGCAGCTCGTTAGGAAGCCGAGGACTCTGTCAGACACTGAGGAGCAGAGAGAGGAGACCCCACAGGTCAGAAACTCAGCCAGGGTCAGGGAGGGGCAGCACTGCATCCAAACCCAGGGAAAMCAGCCAGGGAATAAACAGGACATTTCATTAAAATAAACACTTCAGAAAACATCAACACCTCCTGAAGGAGCAGGGTTGGGGGTTTTTTGGGTGACCAGATGGAAGAAAGATGTGGATCTTAAACCCATCCAGTGCCACCCCTGCCATGGCAGGGACACCTCCCACTGTCCCAGGCTGCTCCAGCCCCAATGTCCAGCCTGGCCTTGGGCACTGCCAGGGATCCAGGGGCAGCYACAGCTGCTCTGGGAATTCTATTCCAGGCCCTCCCCACCCTCCCAGGGAACAACAATTCCTYCCCAAGATCCCATCTAAACCAACTCCCTTTCAGTTTGAAGCCATTCCCCCTTGTTCTGTCAGTCCTGACTCTTGTAAATCACAAATTGTAAAACACCCTTTTTTTACAGAAGGGGCTCAGTAACAGATAATCAAATCAGCAAAAAGATCCTCCCCTTAAGGTGGGAATAACTTCCTTACAAGCATTGGGAGAAGCAGGAATTAAACCAACGGAAATGGAATTTTGTGGTTTCAATCTTTCGAGGAATATCCCATTAAGTTATTGGAGTTCAAAAGGCCTTTATGAACAAAATGCTGAGATATGGAAGTTTCCAGCATAAAGATTCCTCCCTGTGGGTGCCCTGGGAAACAGTTGGTTTCCTGAGCACCCATTCCCAGGATTTTTGAAGATCAGATGGAAAAGGGAAAAAAGTCTCAAACCTGGAGGTTTCTGACAGATCTTYGAGGGAAACATTCCCTGTCCATGGCAGGGGGTGGAATRAGAGATCATTACAATMCCTTCCAAGGGATCTTTAAGGGCCCTTCCTGCCCAGTTTGGGATTCTAAATACAAAGCAGCCCATTTATTTAATGAGAGCATCATTTATTCCAAATTCCTGAAGCAGCAAACGAGAGGAATTTCCCAATTGCTCAAAGAACTCTGCTGATTCCCAATGTCAGGGGAACATTCCAATGGGCACCTTTGGAAAGGGGAGCTCCTGACAACTGTGCCAGGGTACCCATCCTGCTGGGATATCCATCCTGCCAGGAAATCCATCCATCCCATTGGGATACCCATCCCAACCCGCCAGGACATCCATCTATCCCAGATATCCGTCCCATTGCATCCCATCCCATGGATCCCATCCCATCCCATGGATCCCATCCCATCCCATGGATCCCATCCCATCCCATGGATCCCATCCCATGGATCCCATCCCATGGCATGGATCCCATCCCATCATCCACTCCACTGGGATGTCCATCCATCCCTCTGGAAGATCCATCCCATCCCACTGGGACACCCATCCATCCCACCAGGAGATCCATCCTTTCCATCCCATTCCACTCCAAGCAGATAWGGGAACCTCAGCTCCTACAAATTCCCCTTCCCAAATGATTCCCAAGTGGGAAACACGAGGAAAGCAAATTTTCCCAATGCGATTTCACAGACCAGCAGAGATGATTTAGACATTCCCTGTAAAATGGAACACTTCTCAGGATAGCTGTGCCATTAGAGAATATTTCAATGTACTAGGATTTAATAATCCCTTTAAATGAACTATTTAATGTTCCACTGATTGCTGGTACCAATGTGTAAGCTTCAACCAGCTTCTGACTGGGGACAAGATTTTATTTTCTYCAGTTTTGATCAACTGAGGAGTTTTTCACGCTAAGCCTGGCTCACCATCACTTGTGGCTTTCATATGTTTACTTAAACCAGAAATATTTTGCACCTCAATTATTATTTTCCACCGCAGCCCTGAATGGAATTTAAGTCGATCCATTATTCATAAAGCAAAGACAAGAGAAAACACAAAGCTGTGCACTCCTTTCAAAGCCTCCAAATGACTCAAACACACCATATTTATGCATGAAATATTTGATTGTGTCCCTGTCCCCTTTTTTTTTAATTTTTTTAATCACAAGTTTGTTGTTTTCAGATCAGGATATGCCAAAAATCCGACACCAAACAATTTTTGTTTATAATTAAGGCAATCATCAATCCGAGGATTGTAGTCCAGTTTATTTCATCTCTACATCAAAAAAAWGTAATTTAAAAAAATTAAAACTCCCTTGAAATGGGGAGATAAATGAAAATGTGAGTGCCTTCACATAATAACAGTACCCTGACCCTCTGGGAAATGGTTGACTTTCTCAATTCAAGGTATTCAAAGCTCATTCAAAAGTGTTCATTTGGAATGCAGATATCAAAGATGATGCAAATGTTCAAGAGAAAATTAAAACTTACCAGATGTTCTAATCCAGCTTTGATGTTTGCAGAGTCCCTGTAAGAGAAGAACAAAAGTTCTAAACAGTTGCTAAACCCTTGTCTGCAACAATTTCTGTTTAACTCCGAAATGGCAAAGCTGGGTCATTTCTGCAGTGTAAAATTGTTATTTTTAATACAAATATTTACCTGTGACACCTAAAAAATATTGATTATCCCAATGCACAATGACAGAATTAAACCCTTGAATATCACCTGGCCTGAAATTGCTGTGAGCTGCAGCAATGCCACCAGATACACATTGAAAATCAACATTTTTAACCTCATTATGCCTCTATTTACCCTGGGAATAATCAGCCAGGCCAGAGTATGGGACTGGTTAACAAACCCAGTTTTGGTGGCTCCTGGTTCTGCTTTGCCACCACTTCCACCATGGAATTTCAGGTGATGGAGAGAAGGAATTGTGATTAATTCCAYGGTCAGCCATGCTGGAACTTGGCATTTAATTCCTGAAAGCTGCAAAAAACCCAAATGTACACAGAGAAAATGGGAAGAATTTAACCCAATGGCAGCTCAAAAAAAAAGACCAAACTATCCAAGCAAAAACATCAAAAAACAAGAATTCAGAGGGAAAATTAATCCTAACACATCCTGCTAAGGAAAAAAAAAGATTAAATCCAATGGGAAACAAATKAAAAATTCCCCAAATCCCAACCCACTGAACAAGGTGATGGCTCCTGCTCCCATCAGCTCCAGGTTCTGCCTAATTCCAACATCACCTCTTGGAAGATGGGTCATTCCCGTGGCAAAGGAGGAACCAGCCTGAGGATTTCAGAGAATCAGTTGATACCACAATATCTAAAATTACAAATACTGTATTTATTAACACTAAAATTAYCATTTACTTATCACTTCCTACAGCTTTTCCAAAAATCGACCGTGCAGGGGTAGAACTGGATGGGATTTATCCAGTCCATCCCTTCCAACYCAACCATCCCACGATTCCAGGATCTGTTTTTTTGGTCTTTAAGGATGGAATTGCCAGGTCAGGGCAGGGAGGAGCTCCCAGGTCCAGCCCATCCCTGCYCTCAATATCTGTGCCCCTCCCCGGCCCCGTGCTGAAAGCAGCCTTAATTCAATTGCTGGACTCCAAACTGATAAAAAAGGTCCTGAAGTGGAAAATGTGCCGAGATTATTGGCAAATGAATAAAGATTTGTATCGAACCAACACACGGGAGCGGGGCAGGCTTTGGGGGGGCTTTTTTTTTTTAATCATCCCCKGTCTGAAACCTTCTGGGAACAGAGAGTTTCCCTTCCCCTCCCGCAGCACATCGATCCCCGAATTAGGCTGCAATATTAAATAATTAATATACTCGCCRTGATTGATGCTTTGCATTAGTTGAATATTAGGTTATCAATCAAAATCCACTTGGTTTAATGCAATAATATTGAAAAAGTGTCACGGGCTGTTGAGCCAATTTGGAGTTGAGGCAGCCCAGACAGGGATCTCGGTGTAAGGGCAGCCCTAAAGCAGGAACAGCCATGAGGAAAAAACGTTATCAGAGGAGCAGGACAGGGCTGAGCTGGTCCTAAATAAACCTGGGGCTCTGTCACTTCCAATGAGAGCTTGGGCCCAGCCCTGGGCATCCATCAGCCATCCTGGCAGGGCTTTGCCTTTCACTCACCCAATAGATTATAGGGCAGATCTTACACAATTATGGTCTGGATTCTGCTCTGTGTTATATTACATTGTACATGTAATATGTTCTGTCATTACTGTCTGCTTATGTGAGTATATATAATAATTACATATTTAAAACACAATTTATAATCTATAAATTAGTTTTATATTCATAATTTTTTACAATAATTCCATATTTAAATTATATTCATTTATTATATCATTCTTTATTCTATTTTATAGTGTATATTGTATATTTTATAGAATTTTATGTAATCTTTATTGTTATCATTTCTTATACTATTAATTATATTAATATATTAATGGCTTATTATAATACCTAAATTATATTCGTTTAAACAATATGATTTATATCATAAATTATCCAAATCACACTCCCATCAATGCCACATTTCCTGTGTTGTTTCGGGCAAATCAGAGCCACGGGCACAGCTCAGCTACCCCCACAGCCTCGAGTGGCTGAAGAAGTTTAAATCATGAAACACCACAAATAAAAGCCAGGAGCAGCTTTGTGCTCATCCAACATCCCAATGCTCATGTAAAATAAACCCTCAAGTTGTATTAATTTGATACTATTACCAGGAAATTAATTATATTTTACTGCATTTTTCACCCCAGAGTTCCCAAAAAGGCCCAGATTTGCCTTCCTTATCATCTCCAGGGCAGTACCTTAATTCYTYTGGTTYGYTAGGYAAATTCGATTTTATTYCTGAGTTTTCCYTTTTTCCACCAGAGAAGCTCTGGARTGGTTTMCCCACTKTAGTCAAGAATTTGCTGTAAAACACAACTTGACTTGCACCTATTTAAAATCTAAACCCAGTAAATACAACACTCACACTCATCCAAATGTTTCAGCAATGCCAGGGAAAAAAAATTCCAGCTCCATTTGAATCCTGGTCATGAGGGAGATGAAGCAACAAGCTGGGAATTCAATTAGGGATTTCAATTAGGTGGCACCAGATGAGCTTTAAGGTCCCTTCCAACCCAAACCATTCTGGAATCTCCAGGTTTTGCCAGTTTGGGATTGCTCAATCCCACAGTAACTAATGGAGGTGGTGAGAACTTCCCCTCCCAGYAAATTAAATTAAAAATATTCCCTAGCATTTGCTGGAAATAATCATTTTAACCTGGAATATATTCACGTTCCTAAAAATACTCCCCGTATTGAACTAACTATTAATCAAGGGAGCTGAAAAATGTGCACTCATGGAGACTTCAGGTCAGGTGTGAAATCCCATAAATTACAAGAGAACCACCCAAAATCTCCCAGTTTTGTTTCACAGAGGCTACAGGTGTGAAAATCCCACAAACAACCAAAGCTGATTTCTCTGTTCTGGCTGCTTAAAGCCACTCCTCAGCCCAACCTGGCCACTCCAAGGACATCGTAATGTGCAAGTCCTGGGAGTTTTCCTTC